TTTTTTTTCTTTTTGCATACTACAGCAAAGGTCAACAACGATGAGATCGGAGATGGCTTTTTCGTTATTGCCGGTAATAAGTATATCGTCGACGTAGACCAATAAGTAAATGTGTGTAGTCTCCTTGTGGATTATGAGAAGGGACGGATCCGCCTGACTGTGAGAAAAGCCGAGCTGACGGAGATAGGATGTAAAGGTCGTGTACCAAAGTCTCGGAGCCTGCCTCAGACCGTAAATCGCCTTGTGCAGCCGACATACGTGAAGGGGATTAGTGGCATCGACGAATCCTTTGGGCTGCTGGATGTATATTGTCTCATTGATGTCGCCGTGCAAAAATGCATTGGCAACATCTAGTTGTTGGATACGCCAATTATGAAACAGAGCCACTGTGAAGAGAATTCTGATGGTAGGAATTTTTGCAACTGGACTGAATGTGTCCTGATAGTTAATTCCATATTTCTGTTGATTCCCTTGAGCTACCAAACGCGCTTTGTATCTGGCCACAGACCCATCAGAATTATACTTGGTCCTGTATGTCCATTTTGAGCCGAGGATCTTACTATTAACCGGCGGTGGCACTAATGTCCAGGTGCCCTGTTTTTGGAGAGCGAAGAATTCCTGCGCCATTGCCTGTCGCCACTCAAATTTTTTGCTTGCCTCGCTGTATGTGGTTGGATCATCTTGATTTTGAGTTTGATGAAGTAAATTGAGGCGTTGGACTGGTTTAAGGGATCCCGTCTTGGACCTGGTGGTCATCTGATGTCTGGCGTTTGTGTCACAGGGCGGTAGAGATGTCGTAGTAGGGGCGGGTTCAACCGGTGAATTATATTGTTGGGAGATGGTATTATCAGAAGCCTGAGAAGTGGAGCTAAGAACATTGCTGCCAATACTGCGGGAATTTCGAATAGAGTGAGGTATAAGAAGCTGATGTGGTGGTTGGTTCGTAGATTGAGTAGGTTTAGATATAGTTCCTGCATAGGGAAAAACCGATTCGTTGAATGTAACATTCCGTGACACAAAGATTTTATTAGTTACCGGGTTGAGACATTTATAGCCTTTTGACGTCTCTGAGTAGCCAAAAAATATGCATGAGGGAGAGGTTGGCATGAGCTTTGTTCGCTGTCCCGACGGTATCAAAGGGAAGCATTGACATCCGAAAACTCTTAGATGTTCGTATGATGGTTGAATGTTAAACATTCGTTTGAGCGGAGTAATGTTATCTGTCATGGGGGATGGCAAACGATTGATCAGGTAGGTGGCCGTTAGTGCTGCGTCGAGCCAGAATGCCATCGGAAGACCTGCCGTTTGTAAAAGAGCACGGGTTGTGGTAATGATGTGTCTATGCTTACGTTCCGCAATACCATTTTGTTCCGGAGTGTAGGGACATGAGTATTGGTGCTGAATGCCTGCAGTCTTAGTAAAGCTGAGAAAATGATTATTAACGAACTCACCGCCACCATCTGTACGAATGGTTTTAAGTTTGAAATTTGTTTGTTTTTCTATGAAGGTAGTAAAATGAATGAATGTATTAGTTACATCAGATTTGTGCATAATGGGAAATAGCCAAGTAAAACGAGAAAAATCATCGACAAATATGAGATAATAGCGAAATCCTTGGTTGGACGAAACCGGGGATGGACCCCAAATGTCAGAATGAACTAATTCGAGAGGAAATTTAGTTCGGCTAACCGAGTTTTCAAATACTAGCTTGTGACCTTTACAAGACATACAAGTGGTACAAACATATTTAGTAGGTAAAATGTGTAAAGCAGGATTGCAAATAGAAATATTATGCAGAACGCGTTGATGTGGGTGACCCAGTCGAAGGTGCCAGCTGCTCGACGAAGTTCGGGATGCTTGTAATGCAGTGACCGGTGCAGATTGGTCTGCCATTGCGACCTTGTACATCCCGTTGCTGCATGGTCCGCTAAGGATGACCTGATTTGTCTTCCGATCCTTGAATACAAAACCATTTTCGTCAAAAGTTATGGATATGGAATTGTCTTTAATTAAGTTAGAAATTGAAAGTAAATTATATGAAAGCGAGGGAATATGCAACAGTTTAGAAAGAAAGAGCTTACGGGCTGGGGTAGGAAGAATGCCCGATCCCGTATGTGCTATAGGGATGGTTCTTCCATCCCCAAGAGTTACCGTATCATGGCCTGTGTAGTTATTGTAGAATTCAAGATTGTCGGTAGTGTTCGTCATGTGAGACGATGCTCCGGAATCGATATACCAATCCGTGTTGATCGTGATATCTTGTTGAGCCGTCAGAGCCCTATTGCTCTTAGCCGAGGGTTGATTAGGCGTGTAGTTGGGATTAAGATGATGCCAACATACTTCTGCGCCGTGACCCTTCTTCTTGCAAATTTGACAGATGACCGCAGTAGTAGTAGCGGTAGACGATCCAGAAGTAGTGCCAGACGACTGACGGACCCGGCCTCGTCGACCACGGCCTCGAACAGAGAATAGTGCCGATTGGTTGTCCGGTAGTTTAGGAAATTTTAATGCCGCTGACTTGAGATGGATTTCTTCACTGATAAGAAGCGCATATAAGGTGTCGAGAGACAGCGACCCTTGCATTGTGTGAATGGTGGTGGTGAAAGATTGGTATGCCGGTGGAAGTCCATTTAGGATGTAAATAATTATGTCTTCGGGATCGATCGAGGAGCCAGCTGAAGCGATTTGATCGACGATTTTCTTGACCTCAGTAAGGTACTGAGTCATAGACATCGTCTGCATAGAGATGTTATGCAACTCATGTTTAAGTTGGATTACCTTCGAGCGATTAGAAGATTGGAATCGGGTATGTAGAGTCGCCCATATTTCTTGGGTGGATTCAAGATGAATCACGTAGGGAAGAACCTCCGGTGAGATGGTTGAGCACATGGCCGTAGCCAAGTTCTGATCGGTAACCATCCAAGATCGCGTATCAATGTTCGGATCAGCATTTTCAGATGAGTTTTTGGGATCAAGAAACGCTGTAAAACCGTTCGCACGAAATAGCTTGGCGATCTGAGTGCTCCAAATCGGAAAGTTGTCCGGAGTGAGGGCGTGAGGTACCAAGAACTTGAGATTAGAGATAACAAATTTTAATGAGGAGGAGATGACCGTGGAATCGCCAACGGTAGCGGAGGTGGTAGCGATCGAGGATGACGCCTGTTCTTGATGTGCCATGGCTTGAACCTCAAGATCTACCTACTTCTGATACCATGTAGAAACTCAAGAAGATAGAGAAGAGAAACAGTAACAGGATAAAGAAATCATGAAGAATGTTTATTATTTTCTTGACTGTTACAGTGATAGCCGTATGTATTTATAGCCATAGTTAGTATACTAAGTACACTTGTCCGAACCAAACTGGTTGGCAGACTATAAGAGTAAATATATTACTTGCTCTTAACAAAAACTAGTTAGATATCAAATACCTAAGAAACAGATCAAACCTAAGCATCAGTCCTAGCATAAAATATGAGTAAAAATGTGTGTATATACATTAAAACAAAAGGGAATCTACTCTTGAAAAATGCAGTTTAGGAGTCTATTCGAGATTCCATTGCATGTTTAGCAGTCTATCTCATGAAAAATCTATAATAGCCGAAGCAAAGCTGTCACTTTAAATTTCTTCGGAATCTTTTGAATATGGTGCAAGAAGAAAATGGTGACTTTCGGAGCTTACTGTGCTTGTGTTATATTCAACGTTGTCCCCAGTGCCAATCCGCGTAAAAATACGATCAACTACCCTTATGGATGCAAAACGAGCAGGAACATAACAACCAATTTGTGCAAGAATGATCAAAAGACAAACTTGTTGAAGATAAGTGCTTTTTCCACTCCTGGGCAAGTAAAAGCAAAAAAGATATTGATTATTTGATTTAATAATGCATATAGTGGGAATTTTGTTTATGCAGAGACAGATTTTGGGCTTAAAACAAAATCTGATTATAAATATTTACATGTTTGGGCCCATGACTATCACCATGTTCGATGCTTCAGAAAGAAAAAGATTGTTAGGCTGCATAAGAGAATTTCATTTTATCAATCTTAATAGTTCAAATTGATTATGATGGCAAAAAGAATTCAAGTAAATCCAGTGACATTGAGATATGAAAGAAAAACATACTATAAAATCATTATGCAAGCTCTCTAAGATAGGATGTTTTCCAGCATCAATTGCCATGGGCCCGCTTGCTGCAATTCATTTTCAGTTAGCAAATCACAATGAATGCTCAATAGAACTCTTTTCATAAGAAAACAGTATATATTTTCTGTACCTGTGAATTCTGGTCTTGAATAACAGTCAAGAGGCTTGGCAGATATCATGTATGCAAAAGAATTCACAATCATGTCTAGAAGGCATATAATCTCTGCAAGCAGTGTTAGTAAAGAAATATCCTCTCTTATGGCATCAATTAGGTCTGCAAAATCGATTTTTATATATGTCAATATACGATGCCGGACTACAAGCATGACTGGAACTTCACGACTTTGTCTCACCAAAGAAAAACGAAATAAATTACAAATGATTGAAGCGACGTTAAGACAGCGAAATATAAATCTAAAGGCTTGAAAAAGAGCTCACCCTACATTGAGATGTCTAAAGAAAATAATTCATTAGTTTTTCAGTCAAGTATCTCAAAGCAGTTTTTATATATACTATTCAAGAAAAACCTTATGTTGATAGTTTCTATTCATCATACTGGACAACAGCAATCACTTAGCCATCTTTAACATATAAAACAAATACTTTTCTGGGCAAAAAGAGGGATTTATACAGTACAAGTGCTTGAAATAAGAGCCCATGGAAGTATGGAACATAATAAGCATAAGAAAAGCAGTTGTCAAGAAATCATAAAACCTTCCAAACACATCTCTGTCCGCATGAAACATTCAGCGGCTGCAGACTTGTTTCTAACGTTTAGCTGCAGAATTATCAACAATGCACCATTGTTCAAGATCGTTGTAAACTAACATTTAAATATTACAAGCTCCATTTCAATATAACTACAGAAACAAATACAAAAATATTGAAAATTGCACAACAGTAACATAAAAAGGAAGACTGAAGTGATTGACATAGTTTATTGACAAGACTAATAAAGTCTTCTTCAAAAAGAAAGTTTTGCAGGACTAAAGAATATAGCAATTCTTAATCTATCAACCAACAATTTTCTTCTAATGAAGGATGAAAATGCAAGACTCTTATTGATTATGAAATCATTCTGATTATCACAAGGCTATCATCATCATCACTAGTTTTATCCTAAATATTGGGGTTGACTTTAAGAATGCTCATCTCTACTTAGTGCTACATGAGGTTTTAAGCCTATTTTGTATAAATCTTTTTGCAAAACTTCAATATTAATTACCTCAACCTATCTTATTTTTCTCCTAATCCTTTAAAATTAATTTTATTTAAATATCATATTTGCATTTTCTAACATTTGAGGTACAAAACCAAACACCTAAGCCTATTTTCCATTTTCTTTCCCTCAGCCTATGCAATCCCAACATCTCTCTAACATAATCATGTCTTACTCTATACTTCCAAGTATTTTCATGCGTTCATCTTAACTTTTTATTTCTACTACCATGAACTTATTTATTAATGATTATATATATGTGCGCGCGCGCGTGTGAGTTTAGATTTTAAATTCAAGAAAGAAAAGCATTAAAATATAAAATCCAAACAAAAAAATGCATAAAAAGGAAAAAAAATAGAAACTTACAGAAGCAAGTTCAAAAGTTGTGCAATGTATGTTCTTCCCATTTCTCATGACCTGATGCTCAAATTGGACTAATATATGTGAAAGGACAAAATTAAAATACGCTTTAAGAAAACAGAACAGTATAAAATTTACCTTAATAAATTTGTCGGGAAGCTTTCCGTTAATGTCCTTCAGTGGAATACTGAAATAAAATCCTTGCCTATTGTTGAAAGGAATCTTTAATTTATGTAAATTAAATTCCTCTCGATATTTGTTCGCAAGGTCATGTATAGCTGTCACCAAATTTAACTAGAATTATGAAACCAACTGATGTAAATTGCCACAAAAGCAGAATCAAATTACCTTCGCTGGTATCACAAAAAGAACGACGAGCGACATCAAGAAGACCATCTACTCCAGCTTTAATGGCAAAGCACTGCTGTGTACAAGCAACAAAAGGAGCCCTAGCATGTACCACATCCTCATCAATTATATCTCCAATTCTGTTGGGAAAAAACAAATGGAATCAGAAATTAGAAAACATAATCCAAATATGATTAGCCAGATCATTTGCCAAAAAAGTTTCATTAACACTAATTATTTCATCGAAGACCCATAAAGACTAATGCTGCATGGAAGCATTGTTTCTCCCAACTGCTGCATGCACAGACCCAATTGCCCTCATCAGACTTTTCTCTTGTACGCTACAGGATTTCACAGGTGCTGAAGGAAAATGATGCAGCTGAAAGGTTTCCAATGGCAGTGGTTCCCAATTAGGGTTGCAAATGAACCGAGCGTTCGACGAGCTTGCTTGTGGCTCGGCTCGATAAGAGCTCATTTATGATCGTTTGATAAGCTAAATGAATGAGCTTCAACACTTTTGATAAATACTCGATAGCTAAATAAACGAGCTTGAACATCTTGCCGTTCGATTCATTTATGTTCACGAACAATAACGTTTAAAGCTCATGAACAAGCTTGATTAAGGCTCGTGTTTGACTCGAATTAGCTTAAAATGAATAAGTAGTTTTAAAAATAAATATTATTAAATTAATCTAACTAATTTAATAATTTATAAAATGAATTTATTACTCAATAAATTATTTATAAAAATGATAAATAATGTTTTTACAAAATAAAATAATTATTTTTTTCACAGAATAAAATATAATTTAATATAATAATTTATAAATAATTTACTAATCCCACCTCTCTCTCTCCACTGCCCGCCTCTCTGCCTTCTTTGTTTTGCTTTGTATAATGAAAGATATTTGGAGTCTGTTTGAAAGCTGGCTAAGGCGGTCGGGTCGGGTCGGTATTAAGAAATCTGGTAGACGGTTCAGCGAGCCCGGGTGGGGCGGACAGGTCGGCAAGAGGCTCGTTTGTAAAACAAACAATTATTTTGTTAATAGGCTCAAGCTCGTTAAATGAGCCTCTCGTTAATAGGCTCAATAAGCCTAAATGAATCGAACTTGAATATGAACTCGAGCTGAGCTCAAACAGAGGAATTTTATACGTTGAGAATAGGTATACAAAAAGATCGAATATTATTGAGCTGAGCTCAAACATGGTCTTGGCAAATGTGCCTGAGCTCGGACATGCTAAAGCTCAACTCGTCTCACTTCATTTGCAGCCCTATTCCCAATTGAACCACAAAATAAAATTCAATTCTCTGTGTCAACAGCACTGACAGATACGTTGAATAAAATCAACATAGCAATAGTTTTTCATGCCCCCTGACATAAGGATAAGGCCTTACATTTCACCTGATGCAGCTCATAGAATAATAACATTAAGCCTGGAATGAAGGTGCATGCTTTCTATTTTATGCATCAACGGTAAGCACCGCAAACAAACTTTATTAACACAAAACTCAGCTAGCAATATAAATTAGATAATGTACATCAAAAGTTAGATTATAAAATGAAACAATAGATTTTTAAAGAAAGAAAGCCTTAACTTTTTATTATGCCAAGAATCCACATAGCCTTTAAAGAACATTGATATTCAAAAACTAACTTCTAATACACTACACCACTCTAAGTTTTAGGTACTGTTTAATTCTACTGGAACATTGAATTGGTTAAAAATTCACCGATGGTGTATAGGAAAATCTATTTTAGGGTGTGCTTGAGTTAATTTGCCAGTACTCAAGGGAAACCACAAATTTCTTAAACTTTCTTAATAGATTACAGAAATTTGCACTGAAAATATACCGGCAAGATCAGTATCTAGGCTGTATTGCTATGTAATGAAAGGTTACCGTGCATGCATCAACAAGATACTTGTAATTGTTAACCGAACTTTTATTATGCATGGGATAAGTGACAAGAAAAAGAAATACTCTGCAATATAATATCTTTCTCATTTGCGCGTACTTTGCATTTTTCACACACAGACTTGTAGATATTGCAGAGCAGGCAACTCTTTGCATTCTTAAGAACCTGAATAGTAGGCATAAATTCCATCAGTAATGAAACAACTTGCAAGTCAAAGTACTCTGAACTAGTAGGTCTGCGTAATGGAATTTTCACAGTTAAACAAGGCTTTAAAACCGGACTCGGGACCCCGGTTCAACCGGTTGAAACCGCGACCGGTCCGGCCGGTTACGGTCTCTAAAGAACCCGTTTTCGCATCGAACCGGCCTCGACTGTCAAACCGCCGTCGAACCGGAAAACCGGCTCCGGTTTGAATAACCGTTCGGGTCGAGGAAAGTTTCGACATTTGAAGCGGAAGCCAGAACGGTGAGGGCTGTGAAGTTAAATTTCTCCATTTCGCGCATCTTCCTCGGCTCCGTCACTGCTGTCCGGCCTTGCTCGTCCGACGGAAGTTACGCACATTTGATCGCGAGATCGGAATAGAACGGGAGCACGCTGAGCTGTGAAAGTAACTTTCCACCTTTCGTGTGCTTCTCCGGCACCTTCGTGGCTGATCGACGTCGCCTCTCCGACGGCTTGCCCTTCCCATTAGATCGGAAGTTAGACATTTTGATCGAAAGCAACAACGTGAGCTCGCCGGATTGTGAAGGTAACTTTCATCCTTTCGCGCGCTTCTCTGCTTCCTCCGGCGACGTTCCCTTACCTGTAGGATCGGAAGTTAGACATTTTAATGTTTTTGGTGGATTTTCCTTTTGTTTTGTGTTGCAGATTTGGTGAATAAAATTTCTGGACTTATTATTGTTGTACATGGATGACTAATCTGCCCTAAATTTCTCTGGTTTTAATTGCATTGTTGTGGATGAAAAAAGCATATAGTTGACTAAGTGTGGGCTACTGGCTTTTGTCACCAATATTATATAAGTAAAAAGTATTATAATTTTTTTCATTTTTTGTTATATATTTATAAATAATTGTGTCATTATTATAATATTTAAATATAATAAATATTTATTACGTCATCCGGTTCGACCCCGGTCGAACCATCAAACCTCTAACCCCTCCCGGTTCATTGACCGGTCCGGTTTTCAAAGCCTTGCAATTAAAAGTGGAAACATGCAGGGCAAGTCACATTGGGATGATTCAAACAGTTTTTCCCAAACGGAATTTATTAAAAAAAAAAGAACTAGGATTGAAGGAGGGACATTGTTTTAAATTTTTTAAATAACAGCAAAAAAGCAATTGATGAGGACATCCAACCTTCAAAATTCTATCAGAGGCATGGCCGACGATCTACGGTCACAATCGCACCGATTTATTTTTGAATCATTATATGTATTTGATTTATTTCTGCATTTTTCCGTTTGTACCCTCACTTGAGGGGATAGTCATATGTAAGCCCTAAGGACATGTTGGTCTTTTATTATTATTATTATTATTTCTTCATTGTATGAGGCTATTTAAAAGCAACATTCTCCTCTTTTGAGGTTAATGAATAATATTATGAAAATTTCCAGCAATTGTATTTTGAGAGCTTAGAGTTCTTGTGAGAAGGAGAAGTCTCATGGTGAGGGTGGCGTAGTACCTACCAAACACAGAAAGCGTCTAGGTTCGTGGTCTTCATCTTTCTCCAAACCTTCCCCTCACTCCTCCCTAAACTGCCGGCCATAACTCGTTCCTCCCACTCTCGGCCGAACCCCACCGCCACTACAACCCAACCGACCACCCCTCTTCCACTTCCAAACCGCCGGCCACAAAGGGCTTTGCCCCTCCCCTATAGCCGCCGGCCCATATATCAAAACCTAATCCTAAACCCTAACCCTAACCGGCGGCCCCATCCCATCCCCTTGCCTTCCAAACTCAAATTCCTATTTACTACTTTCCATCTATTCCACATCTTAATTTAGGAAAGTTTTCAAATTTCAAATTCAAATCAATTTGAATTTAAGATCTTTTCCTAAAATAGGATAACTTATATTAGGAAGCTTTCCTATATGCTCACAATTAAATATAATTAGAAATCTATCCTGATTTTCCCTTTCCTTATACATTAATTCAAGTTTGGAAACTCCCTTAACTTCCCCACACCCTTTTCCCACCTCTATACCCGCCAACCTCCCCTCTCCCCTCCCTTTTTCTCATTCTATCTCTATTATTACCTTCCCCAATTATTCACTTTGTCGATTAAGGGATATGTTCTCTTTCCCATAACCGGCCACATCAACCCTATCCGCCTAGATCCGCTCACAACTGATGTCCAGATTTCTTGACCAAGGGATTGCTTTCCTGAACTCCCAAGACCAGCAATATTGTTGTCCAAAACAGTTCTTGTTTGTTGTCCAGTAATAAATCAGTTGCTGTCCATAAATTCCTGCACTCTTCCTTACTGTCCATCCAATTGGAGAGGTATCTGATCGCTGTCCAAAGGTTCCCGAACCTTGAAGTTGCTCTCCACTGATGTATGGCGGATCCGGAACAAGATCATGGGTTTGTTTATGACGATCAAGGTCACATCAATATCATCAACTCACCGTTCTTCGACCTCATCTTGGAGATTGACCAAACTATAAAGGAATGCGTAGATAGGATCATCTTCACCCTCACTAAAGCATTCGACGACCAACTCACCTCCATACAGTGGCAGATTATTTCCAAACCCTGACCAAGGTGAACTCTTCCTCCAAATTTCATATATTCCTAATTACCCTCAATTGTGGTCATAAATGATTCATAAGGATTGTGTTAACTCCCTCCGCTAAGCCTAGTAATCTAGAGAGTAAGCGAGTTGACTCACATGGTACTTAATCTCATAGTTAATTTAGGGATTTCTCGTTGAAAATCCTTTGTGCATGCTATGCTTGAATAATTGATTATTTTGTGATCTTAACTTTGGAACCAATGTACATGTCAATAAAAAATGATTCTGTTAACAAAGATCATTTTAGTTGGAACCGTGCAATTTACTTGTGTTAAAGGATATCACTGTATGAAAGTAAGAATAATATTATACCTTTGAGAGAAGAGGTAAAGCATCTAATGCAGTTTTGAGAATGATAATGTTTGATATCAGCATTTGACTTTTCCTAGCATTGGCAGATTTAACAGCTTCTCCAGCGACTTTTGTTGTCTTGAAGCAGAAGTGACAAAGCACCTTATCTGACATTAAAAGGGCCAACAAAAAAAAAGCCCGTGTGATAAACACAACAGCATTTAAAGCAGCTAAAATAGTGTGATTACCAGTATCTTTTGGAAATTTACGAAGCACTTGGACAAGGCCAAAAAATAGCTCCTCGTTGCTCATTAACTCATCCTGAAAAAAAAAAATAATAATAATAATATTAAATAAATAATAATAAAAAGTTATTAAAAAAAAACTCATCGTGAACAACAAAATGTCCAAAAGGAAGCTATCCTGAGAACACTTATGTTAAATTGATTCATCTCTTACCCCTCGAAATTACCCAAGAAAGTCAAGTTCTTTAATTAAAATTTCACAAATAAGGAAATAAATAAAGAGAAAAGCAAGTGAAAGTATGCAGCCAACTGAGCCGGCATAACTTCACTAATATTCTGTGTTATAAATTATGAATGCTATTTAAGGCTCAGTATCATAATGCTCATTATCTTAATTAGCCAATTATTTTTTCCAATAACTCATATCATTATGCTTCAATACCAAGAGTTTCTTTTTAAACTTTGATTCATTCACATAAAAAGTCATCATTGTAATCATTAGCCTTAACCCAACTTTTTTAGGTTGCTGCATGAAACTATGGTAAAACCACGACCTTAAAGTCGATTAGTCAAGCAGCAGCTCACCAGACAAAAAAAGCATATATGTCAGTAGCAAATAGCACAATATGACGTATGGGTGTTTCTTGAAGCCATAGAACATAGGGTATTGCGTGGCCAGTGTTATTTTTTAAAATAACACAAATGAGAAAAATCAGGAATATCTTATAATAATTCATCAAATTAAGATCTTAAAAAAATCCTCAAAAAAAAAACACACACACACACAAAGTTCCATAGTATGAACACAAGATTGTTTAATTTCAACATACATGGAGGTCAATAAAAGACAAAAATATTAAGAATAAACTATCATGGTCAAAGAAAGTAATTAGTTGCTACCTTGATACAATCATGGCTGTTGCACTACCAATACCACAACAAAATGTAAAACATTGGAGATTAAAATTTCACAATAATAGACAGGGTTGTTAATAAAGATTAAGCAAAACAGTGTGTGCCATTTGCGTCTTGCGCTAGAAGCCATGGCACACTTAAAACACATAAGTGCTTGTTATTATGATCATCCATGCATTGCAGACGTAATAGTGCATGGAGAACACCTCACAACGCTATAGGATATAGGACATGGCTATTTTCTGCTATTGGTAAGTAAAGGAAAGGCACTGGACAAGACCTTTCATGGAACATTTAGAAAGTTAAATAAATATGGAGCAGATAATAATTGTTGGTGCATGTTTACAGGGACTTTGCACAAGAAATAGACTTAAAAGGAATATGCAAAATGAAGCATTTCAAAGGGAATTTGTTACGTTCAAAATTTTCACAAAATAACTGCATAGCAGTATTAAGTATTCCAAATTGCTCCTCTTTTTATGTATTTTGTCATTCTTTTCTCTTAAGGTGGGGAGGGAAGATGATGGTTTCAGGGATGGTTGATTTTTTTTTTTCAAATGGTATAAGAAAAATAAAATGTTAATCTACACATGGTACTCCAAATTGGCTACTTTTAGATGTCCCCACCCCCCCCCAAAAAAAATAAAAAAATAGAACTACAACAAGTAGTGTAGCTAAAAAGCAAATGTGTATTTGGATGAAAACTTACCAAGCAATCTAAACGAGCATTAATAGTTTCAATATCTTTCAGAGGCTGCAGCAAGTTTGCCCGAAGTAGTCTAGCCCTAAAGCAGGCAAGCATAAATATACCATAATATAGCACATTAGAAATCAATAGTTTGTAGAGCTGACGCAGCAGATAAACAACAGGGAACTTCTAGCTGTTTTGAATGAGCAATAACATCAGTGATTAATTATGTGACAGAAGATAACACTATAATCAGACCTTAAAATCTTAATGAAGGGAGACTTGAAATACTATTCTATGGATATATAGCCCAAATACTAGCATTTCAAAGTTATTTTTACACGTTTCAGGTGGAGAAATGCATGAAAGAAATTCTTTTAGAATGGCCATTTGACTAAAATAGAAGGAAACAAAACAAAAGGCCAACAATAACATCAAGTCTTTATCCCACTACATGGGGTCGGGTATATGAAACATTTTTCTCCATTGTGTCCTACTAAAAATAAATTTCTCATTTAAATCTAAGAAAAAAAAGATCATTTCTAATACTTTCTAACCATGTCTTTTAAAGTCTACCTCTACATTTTTTAACATAGTTCAATACATCTACTCTCCTAACCGATTCATTTGAAGGCCGACATTTTATGTGAACAAATCATCTAAGACACCCCACTCTTATCTTATCTGCCACTAAAGCTACTCCAACCTATTCACATATATATATTCATTTTGTGTTCTGTCTCTAAGTATAAAGCCACTCATCCACCTGAGCATCCTCATCTCTGCAACACTTAGCTTAATTTTATGCTTCTCCTCTGTAAATGGTGGTGAGATCTGCAATGCTTCATGGCTCAAAACAAAAGGCCATTGAGAGAAAAAAAAAATTCCAATTGATACCTACACCACTATGATACACAGAAACAGACACAGCGACACAGATATGACACGACACAGAATGGGACACATCATTTATTGAAAATATAGGACACGGACAAGGGTTGGACATGCTATCATAACTATTATATTTTAAAAATAGTGCATAAAAATTGAATAAGCTAATGATGTGACTCTCCGTCGAAGAAGTCATCGATGTGATCATCTATAGGGGTCGACCTCGTGATCCACCATAGGTTGTAATTATTTCTTGACCTTGATAAGTACTCCATAATTCAATCCAATTGAACACAAAAAAATAGGTGATAACGTAAACAATATTACAATTCTAGATCAAAATGCATCACACATAAAAATTGCTTTCCCATTGCCTGTTTCACAAAAATGAACTATGCTACCGTGTTTGAAATATAGAAAATATGCAAAAAGAAATCCTACAACACCAAATTGCCACCAAAAAAAATTCAACATAAAATTTAACTTGGCATAGGACAAAATTTATCTCCGCACACAAGATGGATGAAGTTTGACGTGCACAAGTGATAAATTTTATGAGTAAAGTTCACCAAACACACATACACAAATACAAGCACATAAATGTACTTACATGTCTATAGATTTATATATTACATTAAATTTTGTTATATTATTTATAAGTATTATATACTAAAAAATCTTTTAAAGAAATTATGTAATTCTTTATTAAATAAAATTATATACATATATATAATAATTTATTTTAAATTAATTAAATGATTTAAATATACTAATATAAAAATAAAATTAAAAAAAAACATCAAAATACTCCCTTAAATCCTATGACTTGACCTCCATGTCATATGTTATAGGAGTCTGATCGCAGTCCATCCATCAAATACTAAAAAGAAAAAGAAAAATCATAAATATTTAGTTGCTCTCTCTCTCTCTCTAAATAAATAAAGCATAAAACCGCAAACCTCCCCATCTCTCTCACTCAACAGACCGCACACACCCTCTTATCCAATCTCCTCCCCCAATCTTTCACATGCACCCTCTCTCAATTCTCGGGCACATAACCAGCCGCCACCCAATCACCCACTTCCCTCTCCTACATTTACTCCTTGCCAAACTACCAGCTGGCAAGCTCACCTCCAAGCCATCCTAATGCCTTCTAAAGCCCTCATGGCCTCTCTTTTACTTCCTACTCATACAAACCCACACAACTTAAGCCCTATCTCTCTCTCTCCCACCCTCTATCTAATAGATACAAAAAAGCTCAAAAAAGAAGAGAATTAAAAAAATGTAAAAATATTAAAGAATAGAAAAAAAAGAAAAATATATATCACATTTTTCTTCGCCATAAAGTTTGACAAACTCACCATCAAATCTCCTAACACCGCCTCATGCACAAAGGTATAAAATGCAAAAGCCGCATTGCTAAATAACCAAAAATAAGTATCCATATATGTTGCACCGATACGGAAACGGTGACACGGATACGACACGATACGGATACGGGACACGTCAATTCTTAAAAATACAGAATACGGGTACGGCGCGGACACGGCATCATAATTTATAAATCATACATAAAAATTAAGAAAGCAATCAAGGCATAATATTTGAAATTACAAAAAAAATGACAACAACATCATTTATAGCCTTTTAGCTTATAATATCAAAATATACGTAAGCATTAAATGTCTAGTACAACAACAAAAGCATAAACATAAATTGTCTAGCACATAAAGTTTCAACTATTCAATAGAAGGAATTATATTATTAGCTTCTTCGGTGGTTTGTCTTTGAACTTCTATATCATCTTTAATAAATATCATAGCTTTTAATTCAGACTCATTAAGTGAAAGATTAGTAATTTCTAATATTCTCAAGAGACTCAAATCCATCTCAAAATGAGAGAACTTTGCTCGCAGCCGCGGAAGTAAATACGACGCATCTTTTTTTTGGATTTCTTTTTGTTTTTCAACGGACACGGGTATCAGATACGCGTGTCCTTTTGAAATTAAATAGTATTTTAATTGGATACATCTTTGGCGTATCCGACACGTATCGGTGGAGTATCGGAGGCGTATCCGTATATCGGTATATCGGATACAACACACCTTTATAAATAGGTGTATCGGTGCAACATATGTATCCAAATATGTCTTTCTTAAAGCAAAAGAGGAAATGGTATGTCATGCATTATCTCATGTAAGTGATTAATACACGTCTTTCTTGGTACAATAAAGAAAACTCGAGCTACTAAATAATAACTATTTGTATGCACCTTTCTAGACAAGGCGAGCAAATTATCTATAATATTTTTTGTGCTAGGTATGAAAACTCATTCGTGTCTTTCTTAGAGTGGTGGTTGTAGAAAAAACAAACATGGTGCTTTACACCACCCATATACGCCTTTGGGAGAGGTGGGAAGGCCTAATTTCTTTAATTGCCCCTATACGGGATATCATTGAAATGCTACTGAAGTTTGGATTGACATATCCTAAACATGACAATCAAAATGAACATAATGTAGTAAAATTTTAGAATGATTGAGCTATAAATTATAAAAGCTATAAAATAAAAATATAGAACATATAAATATTTGATATATTGGAAGAATGAAACTGAACGCAGAAGTGGACATAAAATGAGCTTACAAGGGACTTGCAATGAACTTAAAAGCTCATTAAGAGCACGAGTACAAACTCTCCTCTTGCACACTTAGAACACTCTCTTACGCAATTGGGAAAAACTCAAGTGAATGCGAAATTTGAACCAAGGAACCCCCTCCTGCTTATAAGAGAAGAGGGGATTCTCAATGGGGACCACCACACAAGAGTGCAAAGCACAAAATGCAAAAAATGGTATTTTTGTGGGCTCCGAAAATTCGGCCCCGGCCTCCGCCCTCTTTTCTTTTTATTTGGCGAGGGAGTTTTAACTGAATAAGTTTCGAGGTAAATTTTGGAAGGCAGATGGGTTTGTAGATAAGACAATACCCAGAGATTTCGACCTCATTTTGTAAGGACTTTATAATCTGAGTTCTGGTTTCCTATAGGCGCAAGCCCCTATAGTTAATTACCCCTCCTGTTCAAGAGAGAGAACTTTCAATTAAGGCTAGTCGTCAATCAGATACGTAGAGAATACATGTTATCTGGCATATAGTAGCAGCATTGGGTTTGGAAATTGGAAATTGGGTTTGGATTTGGGTATTTGGAAAGGTTTGATATTTAAATGAGAAATTTCATCATCTTGCACTTAAAGCGGAAGGTGGGGGAATGGATGATAGACCCGATAAAGATCCCATGGTTACGTCGTCCCGGGCCATCATGATCCCTGGTATACTTAGTCAGAGGAGGTAGTCGACCCAACCTGACAGAAGGATCCTTGTCGGCAGCCAGGGTTGCTTCGTCCAAGGGTACCTTGTAGACCTGGGATGGAAAGGAGACAAATTTGAATCCACCTCAACTAATAGAGGGCTTTGTGCCCTATCAATCATATCCTATTGAATCATTTCTCAAGGATTTGATGCCAATAAGGAACGTAACGGCGATGGCCAAAACCAGTATTTCGTGGTGCCATTTGGCGGCAAAACCACTCGGCTCAGAGGGCCCCGGATCATAACCATTTACCTGTAGTGCCATTTGGCGGCAAAACTGTCGGTTAGAGGACACGTACCACGTCCTTACTGGCATGAGACTGTTTTGAGAATGGATCCTAGTGATATTTTCGACTAGGCATTTGGCTCTTTGTGAGCTGAAGTAATTTTCATATTTGTCCACCCCAGCAAACTGTTGCAGATGGTGGATGGATTTTTGCTTTAAGTGGGTTGATGGATTTATTTCATTTTAAATTTTTTTTTTGGATTTTTGGGATTTTGAGAAATTTGACTTTTTGGGTTTTTTTGGTGGAGCTTGGAATTATTTGAAATGAACTTTTGAGAGGCATTTGAAAATGTTTGGGAACCCCTCCGGTTGAGATTTGCATTCAACACGACCATCATCGGGGTGTTTGGGGTCATTTCTCTTTATAGATTGAACCTTGTCAACTCTGTCGGGCTGTCGACAGAGGATCGGATTTCGTAGGCTTTATGCCCTTGATAGTGAATTCTCATTGTTATAGGTCTTGAAGGCCTAATATGAATGTATTAAGACAAATATAACGATCTCCACAACCGTATATTTGTTTGTTGGTTCGAACCCTGTCGACTTCTATTGACCC